CATCTGCCGTCTGCCTTGTGTTTAACTGTAAACACCCACTTGCACCCCACTGGGTCTTTCCCCCTTGGAAGATCCACCAATTCCCAAGTTTGATTTTTATGAAGGGCATTAATCTCCTCCTTCATAGCATCTACCCATTCAGGGCATTTTAAGGCTTCTGCAACATTTATAGGAATAGTGATGCAATCAACTGCAGATAGAAAGGCTCGGTATGAGGGGGGAAATGTGATCATAGGAGACATACTGGGTAATGGGGTGTTTGGTAGTGCATGACCTAACTCCCTTTCTTTGAGCAATAGGAATGCCAAGGTCATCCATAGTAGGAGTAGGAGTATCAGTAGGTGCAATAGGGTTTGGACTTACCTCCTGGGAGTCTAACAGTGTCGATTGCTCAATGTTTGGCTGCTCCACATCTCTATCACATTGTTAATCTCTACGGTGTGTGCGTTGGAAGACACGAAAGGGAGCAAGGTCTGGAATAGAAGGAAGAGAGACTTGGCGGACCTGAACCTACTTCTCCTTTTCCACACTACTACTCTCCCCCTGAGGAAAAGCAGGGAAGAACGCTTCAGACTCAAAGGACACATCCATAGACACAAAAACTTATGACTAACGGGATCAAAGCATCGATACCCTTTTTTGAGAGGAGGGATACCCTAGAAAGATACAAGGAATGGATCGAGGGTATAACTTACCTCGAGATGGAGGCAGATCATGGAAAAGGAACGACAACCAAAAACTCTCAAGGGAATGGAAAATAAAGGGGACTGAGGGAACAACAACTAATGAGGGGCCATGCAGTTCAGCACTCTAGAGGGCATGCGATTGATGACATAAGCAGTTGTATGTATAGCATCCATCCAAAACCTTTTTGGAACATTCATGTGTAACATCATCCCGCGAGCTACCTCAGGGAGGTGTTTGTTTTTTCTTTCTGTAACACCATTTTGTTGTGGTGTTCTTGCACATGAGCTCCTATGAATAGATCCGTGGGAGGCAAAGAACTCATTGAGCTCACCATGGAAATATTCTTTTGCATTGTCTGATTGGAAGATCTATATTTCAACATGGAATTGCATAAATACCATCCTTTGGAAGTCTTTCACAATCTTTGGAACTTCGTCTCTACTACGCATAGGGAATACCCATGTATAGTGAGAAAAGTCATCAATCAATGTGATAAAGTACTTATATCCGCCCTCAAAGATTATAGTAGTAGGCCCCCATACATCAGAATACACAACATGAAAATGAACACTTGATCTTTTATTATTTGATTGAAAAGTTGTTCTACATTGTTTGCTCAACTGACACGTTTGACACTGGAACTCTGGCACTGAACATGACTTAAATAAAATCGAGAACAAAGACTTTTCTATTTCAAAAGAAACATGACCTAACCAACTATGTCACAAAAAAAATTGACTCTTATTTGATTGACTATATAAATCTGAGGATGACACCGAGAGACCAACTTTGTTGTTAAGAATGTAGAGACCATCCACTAGGCTCCCTCTACCAATCGTCCTCCTAGAAGTTAGATCTTGAAAAACACATGAACCAGGAAAAAAGGTTACATTACATTTTAAAGAGTTTGTGATACTACTGATTGAAAGCAAATTTATAGGAAGTTGAGGGACGTGCAATACACAATTCCGGTTAAGGCCATGGGGAAGAGATATTGATCCTTGGCCTGCAATGGAGGAGAATGATCCATCTGCAAGCCTCAATTTATTCCTTCCTGACAAAAGGTTATAAGTCTGAAACAAGTTCGGCTTACCGGTCATGTGGTTAGAGGCCCCTAAGTCAATGATCCAAGGGGAACCAGTGGTAGTAGTGACATGGAATGCAGAAGCCGCATTACCTGATGTAGATGGCAAATGAAGTAGGAGGAGTACTAATGACTGAACTATCCATCTTTTGCAAAGCCCTACCATATGACTCCAAGTGGTCTCTAAAGGAATTCATTATATCTTCCTTGGGGTCAGAGTTAGTAAGGTGGTCCCGGGTAGTACCAACAACTTGAGTATCTTGGGTTGCCACATGTGCTGCATTATGTGCTGTGTCCGTTTTCTTCTGACCTTGCCCTTTACCCTGTTCTTGGTTCTTCACTGCTCACTTGGGTTTCCCATGAATGTCCCAACATGTGTCACGTGTATGTCGTGAGCGCCGACAGTTGGTACAAAACAACTTGTCTTTATCATCAGCCTTCTTGGTGTCACTTTTCTTCCCCATGTTGTTTTTACTCATTGCAGCCAATGCCACTTGTTGCTCCCCCTCGGTTGTAACCATCACACTCCGCCTACTTTCTTCTGATTGAACAAGGGCATATACCTCACGAACCGACGACAACTCTTTACTTCCTAAGATCTGAATTCTCAAGGGTTCATAGACAGGGTTCAGTCCCAACAAGAAGGCAAATACACGCTGCTGAGAAACCAGCTTCCTGTTGGCCTTAGCATCATCATCATGTTTCCAGGTTGAGGATTCAGCTTGCAAATGGTAAACCTTGGCATAATGCCTTTGCTCAGAATAGGTGGATTTGGCCTGTTCCCAAATCTCACTTGCAGTGTCTGCCCACATGAAGTTCTTCTTCACATCAAGTTCCTTGGCTGCAAGGAGCCAAGACATCACCATACTGTTTTCTTGGTCCCACCTATCATGTTCTGCTGTCTAACTCTTGGGTTCTTTCACCCTTCCATTTATGTAACCAGCTTTTCCCCTTGCTGTTACATAAAGTTTTACACTTTTAGCCCACTCCAGGTAGTTTAGACCATTTAGAGTGGTAATGGGCATGGGAAACATCATGTTTTCACTTCCCATACCAGCTGTGCTGCGGGTTGGTGTAACCCCCGATGAAGTTGAATCATAGTTTGCCATAGAGTACTGCTGAATCAGACCAAATCCCACACAACTACACAACAGCCACAATCAGAATACCAACCCCCAAGAAATTTACTTCTGGAATGTGGAAAAACAAAGAACTGCTGAAATCAACTCAGTGATGGTTCAGCCATTAAAACAGCCCAGTAATCAGTCCAGCACCAGCCGTTAGAATAGTTTACTAGCAGTTCGACTACAGCACATGCAATCTAACAGTCCAGCATCTAAACGGAGGTATAAAACCAAAAAAGTAAGGCATTCACACCATTGTTCATAGAAAAACACAAGAACACATACCCTGTCCAGCACCTGTACGAAGGTGGCCGCCCAGAAATTAACTTCACAGCATCGAACAGATAAGGAAGGGAGTCTTTATTGCATCGCCCTTCTTCTGCTAGGGTCTCCTTGATGTTTTGACCAAGGAAGAACCCAAAGGAAGAGCCACAAGTGACCTGGTAGGGTTTCTCTGTCTTCCACATCCAAGAAATCAAAGAAGAAAGAGGATGAAGCAGGTTCAGATGGGAGAACAGGTTTTTATAGCCCAGAATCTAGCTCTGATACCATGTAATCATTCATGGAGAGAGGGAGACGAGGGAGAGAAAGAGAAGAGAAGAGAAGAGAAGAGAAGAGAAGAGAAGAGAAGAGAAGAAGAGGAAGATTTGATTGAGAGACACGAACCAAAAAACCATTCTGGCTGCCGCCAGTTTAGTTATTTATATTAACTTAATATAAAAGGAATGGGAGATTAGAAGTATGCCCCTGGTGGCACTACCTAGTAACAAAGTAATAAAAAAGAAAGAAACTAACTGGCTGACAGCATCTTAGGTTGACAGCACACTAACAGCAACTGTAAAATAACAATTAAATAATCCTCACAACACTCACCTTAACTATTTTATTAGAGAGCTGGAAAGCAAGTAGTGGAGGGAGGGAGGGAAAGACCCTCTTAAATGAATGCCAACATTTTTTTCTTGTTTTGGCAACTAAGGTTGTTCTGTGTTAGGTTCCCCAAGTTTTGCAAAGCACTTATGTTTTCATAGTTGCAGAGAAACAAGCCTCTCTCTGCTATTGCATGCATTTATGCATTTCTTTGTATGTGGATGGGTGGGATGAATCTAGCTCGTTCATGTTTTTAGTTAATGATAACAAAAGAATGAAATTAATGATTATGAGATGTGTTAATTTTTCTCCTTTTTTTCCTAGCCTTTAGAAGCTATGGTTTTCCTAGCCTTTTTTTCTCAGTAAATATACTATTAAACTGTGGAGTTATTTTCCCTAATTTTGTTATATTGCACATTTTGTGTGGCATAGGTCAGAGAAGCTATAGGCGTAACCCTTTCTGTGTTATGTTCGAACATTCGGCTCTGCAAATTCTTTGCATGTTGTCAATCTCATAAGGAGAAAGAAAATCACGCAGATGATTCTCTTAAAGGGGGGAGTTGGCATCGGCTGCTAACAGAACGAGCTTCTGAATTGGCTGTAAATATCCAGAATGCTAGTCAGACTGACAATTTGGAGACTGCTTCAGATACAACTCATGAAAATAGTCTTTCAAATCATGAATCACTAGAAGATGTTAAGTGGCTGGAAACGGTACTTCATTATACTATGGATTACTGTTGAATTTTTTAAATTTTGTTAATTGTCTGTTGATCTTCCTGTCTTTCTTAACGTGTGCAGATGTTCTATTTTGTTATCTCATCTTTGAAGTCCGGAAGATCTTCTCTCTTGCTGGACATAATTGTTGGTCTTCTTTATCCCATTATTTCTTTGCAGGTATGTGATGTACCAATTTGGGGTGTGTGTGTGTGTGGGATCACTAACAAGATGGAACAATTTACTAGAGTGGAAAAGTGAGAAAAAACTTGAGCAGAAGGAGATAGAGAGAGAATGGGCAGAAACTTAGCCTCTCTTTAGCCTCAAATTATTATTTAAATGAGTGTTTAAACATTAGAAAGTGCAATAATGCCCCTCTTAGGATGGGCAGAATGTAAATCTCAAAAAACACATTATGGCCCCGGCCCATTAATAGAAAAAAAAACAACCAACAACCCAACCCAATAACAATTAAGTCTCACAAAACTCTCTCTCAAACTGAGCATAGATGTTTGTCATGCTTAGTTTGTTCAACAATTCAACAAATCTTGCCTTAGGTAATCCTTTGGTAAACATATTAGCTTGTTGCTTTTCAAATGGCAAGTATGGGATACACAAGTCTTTGGAAGTAATCCTTTACTTTTCAAAATGTCTATCAATCTCAATGTGCTTGGTCATATCCAATGATTTAAAAGGTGTCTGGGTGCACAAGCGAGGGTATGCACCATGCCTAGGTCCTAGGCACAACACATTCAAAGGGCATGTGCTTGCGCCTTCTGAAAATCTATGCATTTTTCTGTTTTTTTTTGTGTTAAGTAGGCCGGGGGCTCCACCCTCGGACCCCCAACCAAGCCCCTCAAGGCAAGCCCAAACAACTCCATATCAAGGTCTTAAATTCTTAATACCATTTTTGCTTCAACTCTCATTCCTATGTTGCTCATTTTCATTCTTCAAGAAAAAAAAATCGTGTCAGTATTCACAAATCGCCAACCTAGATCTCCAACAGTCAATGTTTACCAGTTGGCATTGATATTTTGTAAAAGTACTTTTGTAAGAGTGCTTTAATAAAAGTACTTTCGTGAAAGTGCTTTTATCCTAAAAGTGCTTTTGTAAAAGTACTTCCGTAAAGGTGCTTCCATAAAAGAGCTTTCGTAAAAGTACTTCCATAAAAGTGTTTTTGTAAAAGTACTTTTGTAGAAGTCCTTTTATAAGTGTTCATAAAAGTACTTTTCTAGAAGTGCTTTCGTAAAAGTACTTTCATAGAAGTGCTTTCGTAAAAGTACTTTTATAAAAGTGCTTTCATAAAATTACTTTTATAACAATGTTTTCGTAGAAGTGCTTTTATAAAAGTACTCACTTTCATAAAAGTGCTTTTATAAAAGTAATTTCGTAAAAGTGCTTTTATAAAAGTACTTTCGTAAAAGTACTTCCATAAAAGTGCTTTTATAAAAGTATTTTTGTAAAAGTTCTTTTATAAAGTGCTTTTATAAAAGTACTTTTGTAAAAGTGCTTTTATAAAGTGCTTTCGCAAAAGTTCTTTTATAAAAGTACTTTTGTGAAAGTACTTTCATAAAAGTGCTTTTATCGTAAAAGTATTTCGATAAAAGTGCTTTCATAAAAGTACTTTCGTAAAAGTGCTTTCATGTAAAAGTGCTTTCCTAAAAGTGTTTTCATGTAAAAGTACTTATATAAGTGTTTTTGTGAAAGTACTTTTGTAAAATTGCTTTCGCAAAATTAAACATCTATGGCAACCGTTTTGTTGGCAGAGTTTCCTTAGAATGAAATGAGCAAGATGGGGCATGATTATTTTTCATGCTGCAGGCTACTCAATTTTCGTGCTATGAAGCTAATTTTTCATTCTAAAAAGAATGTGGCCCTTGGCAAGAATTTTGTAACCAAACACTCTAATGTTATTCATTCTTGTCCATTCTTGCCTAGAATGAGCAAGAATTAAGAGAATGAGGCCCAAAGCAGTGAACCAAACATGGCCTTAATCCCTACAGAAAAAAGGTTTTATAACTTTTAGTGTCTTTTAAAAATATCTTTTATATGTTATGCTTGATTTTATGTTTATGCATTTTAATTTGAGATATGTTTTTAAAGCATTTATTTTAAAATTTAAGTATTTTTAATTAATAATGTGTTTAATATTTTTAATATTTTGCATGCTTTTGATTTTTTTTTTTTTCTTTTTTGTGCCTTGCTTCAAAAAGGTGTGGCCCTTGCTTTGCACCTTGCACCTTGGGGCAAAATGGTAAAATATTGGTTCTATCATGCTGAACAAGATTGTTTGCTATGTTTATTGCAGCCTAATTATTGCAATAAAGCTTCAACGGTCCATCAACCTGAATTTCTAATGCCTTTAGAAGACTTCAGATCCACAACAATTCAGCCTCACCATGAGTCATTGCACTAGTTTTGGCCAGAACTATTTGTTTCCTACTCCTCTAGATAACAAGATTTCTACCAACAAATTTATAATACCTAGTTGTTAACCTTCTATCCCTAGAGATCCTACCGAATCAGCATTAGGGAAAGCTTCAACTTCTAATTTGTCTTGTTTCTTGAACAACCCCTTTCTTAGACATGTGTTGAGATACCTCAAAATTCTTTCTACAACCATCATGCGAGAAACTCTAGGAGCGTACATAAATTGGCTAACAACATGCACTACTTTGGTAATGCTAGGTTTTGTAAGAGACATAAGAGCAGTTGCCCCACTAGTCATTGGTACCTTTCTCTATCAATGTATGGCTCATCATTACTTTCCTACAGCCATGATTCTGTTCAATAGGAGTGACAGCTGGTCTGCACCCTAGTTTCCTCCAGAAGGTCTTAAGAATACTTTCTCTAACGTATGTAGATCCCCTCACTAGATCTTGGCATTTCAATTCCAAGAAAATGCTTTTGAGGGCTTAAATCCTTAATCCCAAATTCTCAAGCCAAAAAACTTTTCAATCAGCATATCGTCAACATACACAATTAAGGAAGTTAGTTTGTCATTCATCCTTCTATAGAAAAGTATATGTCCATGCCTAGAGAAGAGGATACCCTTTCATGGAGTTAGTGGTGGCCATTGGTTGGGTTGGGTTGGGTTTTGTTTAGGTTGAGCTTTAACCCAACCCATCTAACCCGCCAACCCATTAATGACCTGGTTATATAAAATTAAATGGGTTGGGTTCAATCCAAACCCGCCTTGACCCAATCCAACCAGTCCAAACCCATTAATCTTATATTTATGTACTTAAAAGTAAAAGCTAACTCCCTTTTGACAAGTAAGTTTGTCATGGCTTGGTGGTCATGGAAGCTATTGTTTACACAAGTGGTGAAGGTTCAAATCACATTACATGCATATTATTTTTACAAGGAGAATAAAAAGTAATTTATCACTTGAAGCCATTTGACTATGTTCGGATTTCGAGTTTGATCGAACTACTTAGGTCCAAATCAGTCAAACCAACTTGAACTATGTAATTGGATTTATCTTTGAGCTAATCACATAAAGAGTGGTCGAACCGTTTGGATTCGGATTGGTCTGATTGTACCAAACCAGACCAGTTCAGTATATGACGGGTTGACTCAGATCAATCCATATCAAGTTGTGCAAAGGTTCTGGATTGAGCTGACTGATTCGAACCGAGTCAAGGTGGGCAGTCTAGACTGGCCTAGTTTCGGGTCAGACTGGATTGGTCTATATTGGGTTGCATAGGGTTTTGGACGGAGCTAGTCGGTTCGAACCGGGTCAAGGTAAGTAGCCCCATTTGGTCCATATTCAGGGTTGGGTCAGACCAGTTTGGATCTTGGTCACGTCGAGATAATGGAACTCTCACTGTGGTGATTTTTGCAACTATTATAAGTATAATCAACTCCATACACTTGAGTATAAGCCTTGGCTATTAGCGGAGCCTTATACCTCTCAATG